GATTTCTCTAACAGAACAAATAGTTGAGGCAATGCCGAATTTACCATAAGCTTACATTCTTTTAAGTAAGACAAAACTCTCTTGTGATGTATGACCATCATATGATTGCTATACTACCCCCCACTGAGCTGTTGCATAATAAATATAAAATTCCTCAATATTTCATAAAACGAAGGAAAATTCAGCTCTTTTCCTGTGGATGTCATTGCTCGAGCCCCTTTATAGCACACATTATAGCCCAGATTTTACATTTTGATGAAAAATGTGCAGTGGAAAAATTAACGGAGGACAATAAGAACTACATTATTGGTGCTAGGTTTAAGAGTTGAAAATTAGGGCAAGGGTAACTCCAGGGTTAYCCTTGCATAGCCCTAACCCCGAGGTAAGCATTAAGGTTAAAGGTAACCCTAACATTAGGGTTAGGGTTAGGGCTAGAGACAGATTTAGGGGTTCGTGTTAGGGTTAGGGCTGAAGATGGGTGAGCATATCAGCTTAGGGAAAAATATATATTTTCGTGTTAAACGGAAAAGTAAAAGCACTTGACGTTCTTCACTAATTAGTAATCAAAAATGTTTAGGTGAGAACAGGTATGTAGAAGTTGTTCACGTCACTTTAGGCAGCCAAACATTTTCTTTTTTCACTTAAAAAACAAAACAGTATAATTCGTTTATCAACACATTCGAAAACAAACAAACAAAAAAAAAAACAGGCAAAAGATGCTGGGTACCACGGTAACAAATTTTCATTTCACAAATAAAGTGATAAATATATCATCCCTTAACCTAACAAGTTGCACCCGTAATAGTTTTACACATTTAAGCAACACCAATAGATTTTTTATTCCATTGCTTGTACCCTGTTTGAGCAGAAAACGTATATGATAATAAAGTAAAACTATTCAGTTTTCAATTTGTTGTAACACTATCTTCTTTAAGCATGTTTTAAATTTTGCGCATTCTGAATAAAATCCGTCCAATGAGAAAAAGGTCAAGTGCCAACGTTAATGGATTCATAAATTCTATTATAAACAGGCTAGTGAATGTTGTGTCATATTATCAACAATTGCTTTACCTTAAGCAACACGTGGACAGCAAATTGGCGTAAAAGTTCTTTAGCAAAACAGCTTATTCCCCAAAAATGTGTTTTGTGACATCATGACCAAAAAACGTGTCATGACATTGGACATCACTTTTATGCACCTGATATGATGATATATCAGTTATTCTTTCCAAAATATCTAGCACAGTAGTTCTGTTTCTCCATAAAAAAAAGCTCTCGGAGAAATTCATCTCTGCTAGGGATCTTGGAATTTCCCTCACCCCCCATTCTGACAGTTTCTGCACATTTATGCAAAATTCTCTCCCAGAAAGATGATTAAGAATAAGACATTTCACTCTGGAACTGATTTTGGGTCACTGGTTAAGCACAATGAACGATAGAAACTCACATTTAAACATCGACAAGGTGCACCAAATTAGGCAGAAAAACTGATGATCTGGACTTCCAAGTCCAGTCCACTTTCTGAAGTCCTAGAATTAACAGAGTCCAGTAGCGTTAATTCTATCCTCAACCCGTTTACCTTGGCTTAAAATTTGTTCGTGATTCGTGTTTTCCTTGTCTTCTTCATCATTGGGAAAAAAACTGCAGAATTTCGACGTTCAGGATTTTGCCACGTCCAAATTTGCCTCGGCAACGAGGTCGTCTGAGTCGTTATGTTGCATTGTTTGTGATAAGTACCTCTATCCTAACGGAAGCTTTTAGACAGAAGAATTGAAGGGATCATTCTTTTCCTCAAATATTCTTTAGTCTTGACCATAGGCGTACGGGACGGGGGGACCTGCACCCTACAAGTTTCAGACATTTTTGAAATTTTTCGCGCAAAACGTCGATGATTCGGGAAAAAGTCCTCTGGAGAAGTCATTCTTAAAGGTAGTCAAGGCCAGGCTTGTAGGCTACTTTCTCTGACGTTTGCTTTGTCAAAACGGAGTTAAGGTCAAATATGATCTGAAGATCCATAATCGCAGGTATTCTGTTTTGGAAAAGCCATATATTAATTAAATTTGTATCGTGGAAATTCACGAAATGGATGTTATTTCCATCATCAAGAGAATCAAAGCAAACGAAGACCAAGACTTTTGTCTTTGTGGTGGCCCTGAAAAGAGCCGTTTTAAATGGCTCCTCAAAGTGCTGTTTTAAAACTTTCTTGAACTTCTCGCACGTGAAAGAATTAACTATTTCTTTTATAGGTGTCTGATTTTACCAAGCTGCAGATCGAGGTCATAGAGTATTCGATGTTTCAAAATAGTTGCAGTGGAATCCCGATGATTTCTCGAACCCTCATGTTTTCAAACCTCCCGATAACTCGAACCAAAAGTCGTTTCTCTCTCCTCAGTCGAACATTGCAATTTTACCCCCGATTTCTCGAATTGTCCGATTTTTCGAAGCAATTTGCGTTTCTCTTGGAGGTTGGAAAAATCGGGATTCCACTGTATTTTCGGAATGATAATAGTTTCATTAGACGTGAGAATTGTGAACGTTTTTGTTTGTACTGCGATTTGAGTGCGTTTGTACAACACTCACGCTTTCGGGCATTGTGTAATTGTTTTTCGGCAATAAAGTCATTGCCCTCCCCCCCCCACCCCCAACTCCAAAGGTGCCCGTACTCCTATGGTCTTGACTTTGTTTGTACCTGCTCATAGCTAACAGCAACCTTTACGGTCCGATACATCTTGCAATGCATTATGGGTAACTATACTGTTCTGACACGGAATCCTTCTTCCCGCCAAATCAAAACATTTTTGAAGTCTAAAAGCCGGTCAAAACATTCACACCTCCATAGGCACCGTGCCTACTGCTTGTCATGTAACTCCCAAAAATACATTTTCTGTGCCCTTGAATTGACCTGCCTTTAGACTTGCTCTGTTTTGGCCTGACACAGTCGCAAACCAAGTTTCAATCTGTCAGCGCTTAACAGCACTCTTAGAACCGCGAACTGCCGCAAACATTCAGTTCTTCGAATGCTGCATGTCAAGTTACCGATCGCCAGACTTAAATGATGTCCTTTGACCACCAAAACATAGCTATTTAGAAGACAGTCTGCCACTAATACATTATTACACCTTCGAAACAGAACTTCTTCAATCGATATATCGACATCGAGGCTACTACGTCATGTGACTATTTCTCAGGCCTAGGCAC